TTCGCAGCAAATGGCTGCCAATGCGGAACTCGTGTTTGTTCTCGGCCACCAAGAGCAAGTATTTTCAAGGTGAGCTATTGCCCGCCTATATGAGTTTTGTGTTTCATTCCTTTTGGATGCCATTTCCTATGTGTAGTGGTCTTGCATTAGTATTTTATTGTCTCTCCTGCAAAAGCGCCCAAGTTTAATTAAGACCGGGTTGTTTCTTATACATGCAGGTCTTGGTGGCAAGAACTAGCCAATCAAGGCCAGATGTTTGCTTTTTGCCGCGCATGGCAAGTGTTTTCGAGGTGAGTGATTGATGCCTATCAGAGTTGTTTGTTTCATTCCTCACAGACACTATTTTCTGTCTGTATAGCGATCTTGTGTCAGGCTTTTGTGTCTCTGTCCGGCCAAAGCATCCGTGTTAGACTAAGACTCGATTCTTTAGGATATGTGCAGCAATTCTTGGCAGCAAGTGGCTGCCAATGAGGAACACAAGTTTGTTCTCGGCCACCAAAAGCAAGTATTTTCAAGGCGAGCTATTGCCGCCTATATGAGTTTCAGCATTCATCAAGGAGCGCAAAATAAAAGCCCGGGGTTGGCCATTGCAAAAATTTTGACTCGGAAGCGCATAGGGAGGAAGTTTTATAAAAGTATCCACTTGCTTCTACAAGTCAAACCAAAACTAAGAATGTGGGTTCCATTTGAAAAAAAAAGAACAAAAAAAAACATTGTCAGCCCGAATTAGCTCGGGGGCGGCACGGAGCAAACAACCCACGGTACGAGTATGCTTGGTTCAGGCTTTTGCTGGAGTGGTAGATGACTCGGTGTTTAAAAAAAAAAAAAAATTTTTTTCTAAAAGTGTGGTGGTCGAATATTCGGGGATGGGCATTGAGTCGGGATGTTAAGGTGAAAATTTCATCCACATGCCGGTATTCATATGCCTTGTCCCCCTAGCGAGGGGGACAAGGCCTTCAAAATTTTGGGTTCGCAAAAGGGTTGCGTCAGTATTGACGTCTCATTTTACATCATGCGTCTCAATTTAAAACACACTATAAATGACATGCCTGAGATTCGTTTGGGTGTACTTCCTCTCAGCAATATATGGTTCTGTCTCAAAAAGGTCTAATCTGATCTTGGCCGCTCCTCAGGTCTCCACCGGCGATTCATCAGGACGAGACCCAACCGGGACACTAGGGAGGAACGGCTTAAGCAAGGGAGGCCACATACACGACAGGTTCTTGCGGACAAGAAACGAAAATAGATAGATGGTGGGTGTTTCATTTGCCATGCCTTTTGGCGTGCACATTATGTTTATCATGTTTCAAGATTCCTACAGAGTTTGGTTTCAACTATAGTAAAATACCGAGTATGCGCCCAGGTCGCAGAAGCGCCTACCCTCTGATTCGGAACGATCCGCAAATAAGCAAAGGGCATACCAGACACCCATCCACCTGTTTTGAGCCATGCTCAAAATATTGAAAGAACGCATCAAGCGCCAGGTGCTGTGGCGTCGTTGCCACAATAGCGCCAGTCGCAGAGCTCACAGATCCGTGACTGGCACAAGCCATGGCATGGCCTTTGGGAACCAGGGAATTGAGATTGAAGAAGTAACGCAGAAATTGGAGGCGTGAGGTGGAGGTGAGCATATTTAACAGAAAACAAGGACGAAGTGAGTTCCGTCGCATGAGGCATCTGTGACCCGTGCATGTAATTTTTAGTGTGCTGTAGGTGGCTACCCCAAAAAATTGTTACTTGAACGTAACTAATCGCAAGTCTCTCTTGCAGTTTCCACGGCCCACAAGCCAGCCGGCGCCAGGTCGTTCTCATTCAAAGGTGAGGATTTTAGATTTTCTGGATTGCTCTGAAGCAGCAATACTGAAGCCAGACAAGCGGTACGGCATATTTAATTGACAGAACGACTGGGGACGCTTTCACTGAAGCTTGTTTTGCTGCAGTACATGTGTGTATTGCAGCAAAACAAGCTTCAGTGAAAGCGTCCCTACTCGTTCTGAGCACCGTCAGTTTAATGTGCCGTACCGCTTGTCTGTCTGGCTTCAGTGTTGCTGTAGGTGACAAAATGTGTGCCCAGGTTTGTCACAAGAGGCTAATTATATCACGCACATGTAATTTTGAATTTATCCGGCTTAGTGTGCTGTATGTGGCTGGTCAAAGAAATTGACACTTGGACGCAGCTAATCACAAATCTTTCTGGCAGTTTCCAAGGCCTGAGAGCCATCAGGTCCCAGTTTGCTTTTCTTCAAAGGTGAGAATTCCAGATTTTCGAAGCAGGAATACTGAAGCCATACGACCGGTACAGCATTTTTAATTGACGGAGCTCAGAACGACTGGCAGCTCCTGCATTGAAGCTTATTTTTCTGTAATACAAGCGGGCGACATTAACACGTGCCCAGTTACGTCGCAAGAGGATATCTATGTCCCGCGAATGTAATTTTGAATCTTTCAGACTTAGTGTACTTTACGTGGCTACTCAAAGTAACTGCTACTTGAACGCAACTAACCGCAAATCTCTCTTCCAGTTTCCACGGCCTACAAGCAAAGAAGCACCAGTTCATTTCTTCTCAAAGGTGAGCATTCCAGATACTCTAGTTAGGTGCGAAGCAGGAATAGTGAAGCCACACGAGCGGCTACGTATATTTAATTGACCGAGCTCAGAATGACCTGCGGCAGTGGCACTGAAGCTTATTTTTCCACAATCAAACGCAGACATAATTTTGAATCTATCCGGCTTGGTGAAGGATTTCTACTTGTCGCAAACTAATTACAAATTTTTATTTTCGAAATGTTTAACCACCAAACCGGTTTGGCGTGTCATGCGTCTTCGTTAATCCCTCTTCGCAGTGTGTAGAACTCGCTAATTAGGAATGATTTCTTCTGTTCCCGCTCGCGATGTGAACCAAGACGGATTCTAAAAATGTGACAGTTAACTTATCAAATGAGTGGTCTTTTAGTTTTAGGTGTTTTGAGAGTGGGCTTTTTTTTCGGTGTCAGATCTATGATTATTGAACCTCATCCGGAATGGAGATTTTGTTTGGCCCACGTACTGCATGTGACATTTCCCACACTCCAGTGAATATACAACGTTGGCGGTATAGCAGTGCAGATCACCCCGAATTCGGAAGGCGAAGTTTGATCCCATTTACAATTCCGGGCCGAGCATGCTCCCACTTCCAAGCGTCGTGGACTCCGAAGATACTGAGGAGCGTTCACAGAGGAGAAGACGTTTATATACAGGAATATTTGCATCGTCATCTTTCCGTTTTGGTGTCTGACAAGGGAGGACTCTTTACGAGTCCGAGCACCGGCTAATGTAGCCTCCTTGAAGTGGCGAGGGGGTCCCTGTCCAAGGTCCCGCGAGGGGAAAGGGCACTTTCGTCACCACGGGACGTCTCTGCAGTCTCCCGGGACGCGGACCTCCCACGTGGTCACACCCCGGACCAAGCATCCCTCTCGTCCCGTCTCCCAGAAGAACGCGGGAACAGGCAGCTCTCCCGATCACACGCCGAGACCCAAACGTCTCCATCGTCCGTAAACACCCGGCCCGAAGGCCGAGGAAGCGGGCCCCCGTTTCTCAGCGGGGTGTCAGGGGGTCAGCTCAAGCTGTGCCGGGTGGCCCGCTCGGCGTAGCCCGGAAGCCGCACCCCACCCACGCCGCGTCGGTCGGCATGTTCGGCGGCGCCAGAATGCCGAGCCCGAGACTCTGGTCACTCGAGGGGTGGTCGATGGCGCCGCCAGGAAGCCGAACCTGCTCTCTGGGTGGCCGATCATAACAGCTCCTCCGCCGCCGGGGAAAAGGGGTCGAAAGGGTTGCAACCCACGTTGCATCCCGAAGAACCCGTAGTCGCTCGCCGAGTGTCTCTCGGGGACCGCAGCAGTCACATTCTCAAGGGAGCTCCTCAGTGCACCAGATGAAACAAACAGCGGTATGGCCGCACATTGCCCAAGGTCGCAGGTCCGCAAGTGCGCAGCCAACCTTGGGATCTGCCAGATTACTATATAACTGACACAAACTTTGTCCTTTTAAAGTAGACAACTAAAATATAAACATTGTCACTCAAGAGAACCCTGAATTAAGGAATACATTTTACAGAAATCGAATTTCTACAGAACACAAACATAACCCTTTGCTTATGAAGCGCCCGGCTTCTAATTTTGGTTCAGGAAATCTCTCATAACCAACGAAACGGCCAAAGTGTGTGCGCGACCATGCACAAACAGCGGAAACTGCTGAAGCCGAAAAGAAATATACAAGTAATAAAATAGACCTCCCTCTGGCTCATTTAGGCTGAAAACCCTCGGCTGAGACCATCCGCATTTCCATGGAGCTGTCCCTTCTTATATCTGACTTCAAAATTGTACTGCTGGAGTGCTAAGCTCCAACGTAGCAGTCGTCCATTCTTGGAAGACATATTGCGAAGCCAAGTCAAGGGGCAGTGATCGGTCTCGATCAAAAAGTGCGACCCTGCCAAATAGCACTGCAGCTTCTGGGTTGCCCAGACCAAGCAAGCGCACCCCTTTTCGGATACACTGTATGCCTGTTCCCGGGTAGTTAACTTTCGGCTGATAAATACTACCGGGTGCTCATTGCCACCCTCGTCCACCTGCCTCAACACTGCACCAAGGCCACGGTCGCTAGCGTCGCACTGGACAACGAACGGCCGGGCGTAATCAGGCGCACGCAAAACTGGTTGAGAAGTGAGGGCCGCCTTAAGAGTGCGAAACGACCTTTCCTTCGGTTCATCCCAAACCAGTTGAACTGGTTCACCTTTTCGCGAGCTGTCGGTTAGCGCACTAGCAATCTCAGAATAGTTCCGAGTGTAGTGTTGATAGTATCCCGTGAGCCCGAGAAATGAGCGAACGTCCGTCTTCGTGACCGGCCTAGGGTACTCCGATATCGCTGCGAGCTTTACCTCCAATGGGCGCCTACATCCTCGGCCGAGTGTGTGCCCGAGGTAATCTACTTCTGCCTTCCCGAATCGGCACTTTTCCGCTCTCACCGTCAGCCCCGCGTGCCGCAAGCGCGTCAACACCTCTCTTATATGGTTGAGATGTTCTTCCCAACTGTCCAAGAAAATGGCAATGTCTTCCAAGTAGGGTAACGCGAAGTGATCCACTTCACGCAACACGCGATCCATTAAGCGAAAAAAACAAAAGGACGCGTTCTTCAAGCCAAAACTGAGAACTAGCGGGCGAAAAGTGCATAGCGGAGAAATAAATGCGGAGTATTGGCTCGCCTGTTCTGTCATTGGGACTTGCCAATATCCGCGAGTCAAGTCAAGCGTGGACACATACTCGGCACGACTCACTGTCTCAACCCTTTCCTCGAGGTTAGGAATAGGGTAGGCCTGATCACGGGTAACTGCATTCAGTCTCCGGTAGTCGACGCAAGGCCTCGGGTCCTTGCCCGGAACTTAAACCAGAATCAAGGGTGAAGTGTATTCGCTTTCTGTGGGCACGATGACACCCAACTCTAACATGCGATTGGTCTCGAAGGTTAAGATCTCCTTCTGCCTTGGCGACACCCGATACGGCCTGGAACGGATCGGTTCGTCCGAAGTCAACTCAATATCGTGCTCAATTAGGCTAGTTCGGCCAGGTCGGTCAGCGAAGCTCTCATGAAACTCCTGCAGAAGTGCCTCGAGGTCTTGTTTTTGTTGTGGACTTAGTTCCGAGTCAGCCCTGATTCGCACAAGCGCGTTCTCCAATGAACCATTGCCCTGATTGCTTGTCGGAAAAACGAACTCGATATCAGCTTCCTCCGGTGCATTTAACGTGAGATGAACAACGGCCTGGCGTTCGTGATACGGCTTCATTAAGTTAGAATGATAAATTCGCACCTCCTTGCGCTTTCCCTGCATTTTAAGAGCGTAGTTGGTGTCATACAACTTCTCGAGAACCTCTGCAGGCCCCTCCCACTAATATCCAATTTGTTTTTCTTCGAGGCTGCTAGCAGCATTAGCTTGTCCCCTGCCGAAAACGTGCGCTGACGGGCCGTCCGGTCATAGTACAACTTAGCTCGGGTCTGAGCTGCCTGCATATTTCTCTCCACAAGTCCCCTACAGCACTGAAGCCCGTCAAGCAAGCCTAAGACGTACTCGACAACAGTCGGATCCTCGCCGCGCCCTTCCCAAGCCTCTCGCAACATTCGAAGTGGGGACCTCAGGGACCTCCCGTACACAAGCTCGGCAGGGCTGAACCCAGTGGTTTCGTGCGGCACGGAGCGCAAAGCAAGCATAGTTGCGGGCAGGCAAGCTTCCCAATCTCTGCTATGCTCGTAGCACAAAGCCCGCAGCACTCGCTTTAGGACTGAGTGCCACGCCTCGACGCTGTTGCTCTGTGGGTGACGAACTGAGTTGTGTACGATACGAATGCCGTACTTCTGAAGGAACGTCGTGGTCAAGGCGCTGGTAAAAACACTTCCCTGGTCACTCTGCAACTCAGCAGGGAATCCAAGGCGGGAAAACACTGACAAAAATCCATCCACGATTCCAACGGAGTTCAATTCCTTCAATGGCACCGCTTCAGGAAATTTTGTCGCCGGACAAATCATTGTCAGGATATACCGATACCCAAACTGGGTCACCGGGAGCGGTCCCACAACGTCCACGACCAGGCGGCGGAAGGGCTAACTTATCAGCGGCACCAGCCTCATAGGGGCCTTCCTCTGATCCTTAGGCTTTTCAACTCTCTGACACGTGTCGCAGGTCCGCACGAATCGCTCGACATCCTTGAAACAGCCGGGCCAGCAAAACTCGCGCAAAAGCCTGTCCTTTGTCTTCTTGATGCCCAGATGGCACGACCACCCGCCTCCGTGAGTCAAAGAAAGCAGTTCGTCCCGGTACTTGCTCGGCACTACCAGCTGATCAAAGTGCAACCCCCTTGAGTCTCTGGCCCGCCGATACAGGGCTCCCGCGCGACACTGAAATGCTACATTTCTCTTGAGAGACCCTCTTTAATATGATTGTTCAAAATCTTTTAAGCGATGGGCCACGTGCCTGTTCCGCCAACAGCGTTTCTACATACACTTTCAGCAGGCCTGAAAGACCAGACGAGTGCGGCGGAACGAGAGATGTCATTGATTCAAGCGTTTCATCTGGACAATTAGGCATAGTCTCTTCTGCCTCGCCAACGGCACACAGATTTAACTGCGGCTCCGGCGCAGCCGGCTCCCCCATGTCCTGCGCCTTAACTGTGCCTCTATCTATTGAATCGTTACAAACACCTCCGTCCGCGCACGTCTTTTGCGCCGCGAGTTCACGAACCTTGGATCGGGTAAGTGCATGGACGGTTCCCTCGCAAAATTTCAAACCCTTGTCTCTCAGCATTCGATCTGACCGGTTGGAAAACAAATAGGGATACCTCTTGGAAAGGTTTTGCGACACCGCTGCCTCTGTGCACAACATCCCGAACGGCCCCCTCTACCTTGACACGCGCGATAGGCAGGCAGACACTGCTCTCCTCCACGACCTGACTAATCCAGGCGCACTCTCCAGTGAAATCATTCTCTCCGACGTACTCAGATCTAATGGTATCCATCGTCGCCGCAGAATCTCTGAGAACTCTGCATGCTTTAACATTAACAAGCAAGTCATGGAGGTAGGGCTCGAGAAGGCGCGCGTTCTCGTCATCGTCATCAACGAAGGAAAAAACCACTTTCGGTTTTCGGCAACCCGCACTGATATGTCCACGCTCCTGACAGCAAAAACAGACTAAAGGTTTTCTTGCTTCGAACGCCCTCTTTTTCCCAAAATTTGTCCTCCCTTCGCTCTCTTTCTTATCGGACATCTCCCCACTTTTCTCACTCTTTTGTCCTTGCGACTGGGCATTTTCTTTTCCGTGCGCACCAACTTTCTTGGAAGGCTCCCCGCCTGCGTTTGCCCCGAGACAAACCCGGCTTCTCTCAGCATCGCGCCTTAAAGCGAATTCTTCTGCCAGATCGGCGGCTCGCTCCAACGTTTTAACCCCTGGTCTGTCCTGCACCCACAGGCGGGTTTCCTCCGTCAAGCAGTTATAAAACTGTTCGAGACCGATACACTCGACCACCTTGCCGTGGTCTCCCAAAGCTTCCTCTCCTTTCAGCCACTCTACGAGATTGGATTTCAGGTTGTAAGCGAATTCGGAGAAGGACTCATCCGACTTTTTTCTCTCAGTGCGAAATCGGCGACGGAAGGCGTCGGCGGAAAGGCGGTACTTCTTCAGGAGAGCCGATTGGACCTTGTCATAATCGTCTGCCTCCGCTCTTTCCAGCCGAGCCACCGCGTCGGCGGCCTCGCACGGCAGAACTGTCAAGAGCCATAGCGGCCAGGTGTCGCGCGAATAGTCCATCTTCTCACATGTTCTTTCGAAATTTACAAGAAACAAGCCAATGTCTTCTTTAACTTTAAAGGGCTGTAGGAGATCTTTCATTTTCAGCCGCGGTGTAGCCTGACACACCCTAAAACTCTGTGTCTCTGGGCCTGCACGCTCTGCCTCCACGTGAGCTATCTGAAGCTCTAACGTTTTCCGTTCCAGCTCCCTTTCCTCTGATTCTCTGCAATAAAGACGCTCTCTCTCTCCTTCTGCGATCTCCCTTTCTTGTCTTTCCTCCTCTTTCTTAACTCTTTCCTCCTCTTTCTTAATCCTTTCCTCGATTAGCTCCCAGCACTCCCGAAGCTCCACGTCGTCGGCACCACTCGCCCGAATAGCCTCGATTATGAGAGGTTTTCTCTGGACTCCCCCCAAATCGAGCCCCAATTCTTTACTCAAAAGATTCAGATCTGGTCTGCGCAACTTCTTCAAATCCATGGCTGTTCTCGAGTGACAATCTTTCACTTTACTCTCTCCCGGGGAATACCCGAATAAAGCCAACTACCCCGGCAGCTATATCACCAAGTTTAAGCAAACTTCACCATCTACTCAAACCTGGCAAATCAGAAGAGAAAGCTGAACAGTCACCAACACAGCAACCAGGACTCTGCACAGACCATTCCACCGCTGCCACCCAGTTGTTACGATTCCGGGCCGAGCATGCTCCCACTTCCAAGCATCGTGGACTCCGAAGATACTGAGGAGCGTTCACTGAGAGGAGAAGACGTTTATATACAGGAATATTTACATCGTCATCTTTCAGTTTTGGTGTCTGAGAAGGGAGGACTCTTTACGAGTCCGAGCACCGGCTAATGTAGCCTCCTTGAAGGGGCGAGGGGGTCCCTGTCCAAGGTCCCGCGAGGGGAAAGGGCACTTTCGCCACCACAAGACGTCTCTGCAGTCTCCCGGGACGCGGACCTCCCACGTGGTCACACCCCGGACCAAGCATCCCTCTCGTCCCGTCTCCCAGAAGAACGCGGGAACAGGCAGCTCTCCCGATCACACGCCGAGACCCAAACGTCTCCATCGTCCGTAAACACCCGGTCCGAAGGCCGAGGAAGCGGGCCCCCGTTTCTCAGCGGGGTGTCAGGGGGGTCAGCTCCCGCTGTGCCGGGTGGCCCGCTCGGCGTCGCCCGGAAGCCGCACCCCACCCACGCCGCGTCGGTCGGCATGTTCGGCGGCGCCAGAATGCCGAGCCCGAGACTCTGGTCACTCGACGGGTGGTCGATGGCGCAGCCAGGAAGCCGAATCTGCTCTCTGGGTGGCCGATCATAACATCCCGTGCTCCTAGCTGTCCGGGTAGGGGAGACGAGTGGGCAAACCTCACATCGCGGACTCAAGCATGGTCGGCTCCCAATGTTCTCCACCGGGGTGGTCCTGGCCCTCACAATCATATCTTTTTGGTTTCTACGACGTCTGAATACAACGCGTGGTGAAGAAGGGATTATATTGCTCAGCCTTTTTCTTTGTTAGATAATATTAAAATGTTTTTTTTAGAATGTTGTTAATGTTAGGCGTGTTGTTTGAATACGTTAAGACTAAGGTGATGATGATGATGATTAGGAGTTTATTGGCGCAGAGGGGCGACGAGTCTCTCAGCTGTAGATGAGAAATTTAGCCAGTGCCGTACAACCGCTACCCTGGGGTCTTTAACGTGCATTACGCAGTAGTGATACACGACCACACGCCGGTACGATGCTCATCCAGATCGAAACGGGCAGGGGTGGGGCTCGAACCCAGGATCCCTGGGTTCTGCAGCGCGAGGGCGCAGCAGCAACGAGGGCCATAATGCGCCAAACTTAACGTATTTCGAGCATATTATAACAAAAGTTTACTTTGAGGCTACATATTTACAAATGGTATAAATATCCAGTTTGTTTTAAAAAGTCTAAGACACGGCTGAATGGAACTAAAGGTTTATCACCAGGCAAAAAAGAGGGATGAAATGGGAGATGATCCCTAAGAAGTTCGAGAAAACATGATTGACGGAGTGGTTGATGGGACGAACAATGCCACAAAATGTGCAACACGGTCAGAAGCTCTCCACAATGTTCACATAGTGCAACATCCTCACTACGAAGCAGATACTGATGTGTCACACAGGAGTGACCTATTCTTAGACGGCATAGAAGAACCTCCACACGACGTTCCCTGTTGTAAGAGCTCTCCCAAACGCCCAGAACTTGCTTGATAATGTGAAGTTTGTTGTTGCTCTCTGTATCCCATTCCAGCTGCCATTTGAGAAAAATAGATTTCCTCAGAAGTGGTTTCAAGTCTTGGTAAGGTAAGCAATTGAATGTTATAGACGAGCATTGGGCAGACACGGCCAATTTATCCGCCTCTTCATTGCCCAAAATCCCAACGTGGCTTGGCACCCAGCAGAATTTAATGTCCCGACCGCGTCACAGGGCGCTATTGATCTTACCATGTAGATGTTGTGCAAGGCGGTGCTTTGTGGGCATCAGGGAGGACACAGCCAATAAGGCACTTTGTGAGTCGACAAAAATTACAGCTTTCAAAATACTATTGTCGAGTATATGTTCGACCGCTAGTAAAATAGCATAAAGCTCTGCAGTGAAAATGCTTGCCCTAGAGTCAACTTGTGTGGCTTTGCTGTAGGAGGCGGAATAGAAAGCACACCCTACAAAAGACGACGATTTGGACCCATCAGTATAAAACTCCAGGTAGTCTGCATATTTTTGTTGCAAGGAGAGAAACTCCTGCCGGAGGATTTGTGGTGAAATGACCCTCTTACTGTATTTTGCAAGTGACCAGTCACAGAAAATCGGCAGAACATCCCATGGAGCAACCCTATGAGTGTTTTTAAGCAAGGGAATCTCATGGAGGGGGATATTAAGGGATTGACAAGTACTTTGCAAACGGAGGCTTAATGGTCTAACAATGCTCGGCATGTTTTCGAAAAGCTGTGAACTTCTGCAAGCATGAAGGGCACTGTAGGAGGGATGCTTTGGATTTGAAAATACTTTGTAAGCATAAAAGACGCTGAGGTACTGCCTCCGTTTCTCAAGGGACATTTGATGCGTATCAGCATACAAACTCTTCACAGGAGATGTGCGAAATGCACCTGTAGAAAGTCGTAGTCCAAGGTGGTGTACTGGGTCAAGCATCTTAAGACCGGATGGCCGCGCTGACCTATATACTACTGCACCATAGTCGAGGCGGGATCGAACTAAGGAGTTATACAGTCGTAGAAGACAGCGCCTATCAGCACCCCACGACATATGCGATAGCACTTTTAGGATGCTTGATGACATCAAGCATTTCCGTTTCAAATACTTCAGATGGGGTACAAAGGTAAGTTTCTTGTCAAAAATAACACCCAAAAATTTGTGTTCTTGTTGGACTGATATCTCAATGCTATTAAGATGCAAGGAAGGAACAAGAGACAATCCACGGCGTAATGAAAAAGGAACACAGACTGTTTTTTCAGGAGAAAATTTGAAGCCGTTTTCGTCTGCCCACTTACACATTCTATTGATTGTAAGCTGCAATTGTCGTTCACAACTGGAGAGGTTACAGGAAGACACAGAGATTTGCACATCATCCACATATAGAGAGTAAGTTGCTGATGATGGCATAACCTTAGCTAGACTGTTAATCTTTACAGCAAAGAGGGTAACGCTCAACACTCCTCCTTGAGGAACACCATTTTCTTGAGAAAAAACATCTGAAAGTATGGAGCCCAATCGGACTTGAAAGGTTCTTTCGCTGAGAAAGCTTTGTATGCACTGAAGCATGCGGCCCCGTACACCACAGTTGTACAAGTCACGAAGTATTCCATACCTCCATGTGGTATCATATGCTTTGTGTAAATCAAAAAGCACCGAGATACAATGCTGCCGGTGTACAAATGCCTCACGTATAGCGGTCTCTAGGCGAACCAAATGATCGGTGGTCGCTCGTCCTTCCCGAAAGCCGCACTAATTTACATTAAAAAAAATTCTCAGTCTCTAAGAAATGGACAAGACGACGATTCACAAGCCGCTCATAAGTCTTCCTTAAGCAACTTGTGAGTGCGATGGGACGATAGCTCGTAGGAAATGAAGGGTCTTTCCCAGGTTTCAAAAAAGGGATTATGTGGGCATGTTTCCAGCAACGACGAAAGGCAGCAGCTTGCCATAGATGATTAAAGAAAGTTATCAGACCGTTCATAGATTCAGGGGACAGTTTCCTCAACATTTCATAGTGGAGTCCGTCTGGCCCTGGTGCAGACTGCTTCTTTGCACCAAGAGCGACTTTGAGTTCACACATTGTGAATGGTCTATTGTAAAAAAATGAACCACCCTCCGACATCGAGATGGGCCGCTTTTCAACAGCCGACTGGAACTTCTTGAATTTTTCGCTAAAATTAGAGGAGCTACTAATAAGATGGAGATGCTCCCCAAGAACATTTGCTTGATCTTTCAGCGATACAGAGGGGGAAGAAAACAGAGGAGTTCGGAAAGATTGGTAATCTCCTCGAACTTTCCGCATGTGATCCCAAACTTCTTTAGCTGGGACAAAGCTATTTAGAGAAGATATATATTTTTCCCATGATGTCCTCTTTGCCTGTTTCCGTGTCCAACGTGCCTTGGCCCTACATTTTTTTTTAAATTCAATCAGGTTCAAAGCAGTGGGATAACGGCGAAATATACCCCATGCCTTGTTCTGTTTCCTGCGAGTGACTGTGCAGTCTTCATTCCACCAGGGTTTGCATCTCCGGGGTAGGACGCCGGATGTTTGCGGAATAGAAGATGCAGCAGCATTAATTAGACATTCAGTGACAAGCACCGTCGCCTCCTCGGGGGACATACTGCAAGAAAGCAATGGATCCAGTACGGCATTTAAACCAAAAACAGCCCAGTCAGCCTTCTCTAATTTCCACTTTGAAAGGCGGGTCGAAAGCGATGGAAGGGGTAATGAACTTTCTAAAATTATGGGGAAATGATCGCTGCCAAATGGATTATCTAAAACCTTCCATGAAAAGCATGGAAGTAGAGCTGATGATGATATGGAAAGGTCTATTGATGTAAAGGTGTTATGAGCAGCACTAAAAAACGTTGGCTCCTTTTTATTCAGAAAACAGAGCCCGGAGGATAATAAAAGTCGTTCTAAAACTTCACTACGGGAATCCTGACGAACACTACCCCACAGAGGGTGGTGGGCGTTAAAATCACCTAGAATAAAAAAAGGCTCAGGCAGCTGATCTATGAGTCCTTGTAGCTCGTGGAGCTGCAGTGGAACATTGGGTGGCAGGTAGAGAGAGACGAGGGTGACGAGTCGGTCAAGGAGAACGCGAACTGCTACTGCCTCGAGTGGTGTTTGCAGAAGAACCTGAGCACACAAAACCCCGCTCTGCACTACAACTGTGACACCTCCAGAAGGGCTAGGAGAAGGGCGATCCTTCCTAAAAAAACTGGTGCCGGCGTAAGACCTGT